TGCTGGCGATGACTCGCTGCTGGCGAATCGATCTGCGCATGTGTATAAAATGGTATTTACTTCCGAAAACATGCCTGCTGCACGCGGTAGGTTTGTATTTTGTTTTTCAATGAATGAAATTCAACTTATAAGATGTCTTTCTAGACCTAGTTACATTATCATTATAGAATATTGTATATTAACTCTAAAATATAACACAAAGTCAATTTTATATAGGTCTAACTTATGTAGGGCTACGGAACGATGTAAGCCGTATAGCCTAGGGCCTAGCCTAAGCTGGCTCAGGCTAGCAAAGGCCCTAACTCTACTATTATTCGGCTGGCATTGGCCTAGGCCTACTACTAGCCAACTAATGGGACAGTCCCACACACTTTTCTAATGCCAATGGGTCGACAAAAAATGGGTCTACATTTTTAAAAATGGGTCCAAATTTAATGCAGTTTCATGCATAAATGAGTCCTCATTTTGAAAAATGGGTCCAAATTTCTTATAATTTAGCCTAAAATGGGTAAAATTTTATGAAATGGGTCCAGATTTTTCATATTTTTCCGTAAAATGGTTTACTTTTAATAAAATGGGTCTACATTATTTGAATTTACGCGAACAATGGGTCCACCCTGATATTGTACCTGTTAATAGCATTTGTGGTATGTCCTGAACAGATTCTATGTTTCGTTCTTTATTAGAACATTGAATTGATAATAAATAATATCAGTATTTACAAATAATAAGGACTCTATAAGAGATTGTTTAGAAGCAATTTCGGCAGTCATATGATGTCATGAAGTCCAAGTTAAAACCTTCACAACTCTCAGTGTGTTCATGTAATGTATGCTACTATTCGAGAAAGCTTAACAGCTCGAACCTTTAAACATCACCATTTTGGACTTAGATTATTCATTCTGGACAATGTTCTAATAAAGAACGAAACGTAGAGTCAATTATGGCCTCAAGTCTGTCATCATTCAGAGTTACCATACTCATATTCTAAATTGTGTTTTAGAGTTAGCATTAATGATATTTTTTACTTGGTTTTTCCCATTGTTTTGCAGCTCACTTTTCTCTGACTGAAACTCAGTTCCTGGCAAGTTGTGGAGATCATGTAATTAAGGCAGCTTCCACATCCAATTCTTTATTTGTACTCCATGAAATAGAGACAGAATATATGAAGAACTTTGACTAGTATCGAATAGCCTTGCTTGAAGCTGTTGCAGCATCCAAAAGAAAATCTACAGCTACCTTCCTGTTTGGTAACAAATCCATGCTGCGTTCATAACAAAATGGTAAATACTCAACAAAACAAAAAGGCTACATAGTTATCCCAATGATACATCATGCATAATCAAGGTTTAAAAAAAAAAAAATGTTTTCATCCAGTTTTTAAATTCAGTTAGCCTATAATTATTTTTTGACTTCATGTGCGTAAATGTTAAAATTTTTAATTTCTGAAATTTAATCTAAATTATATTAATGCAGAGTTGTTGCTAAACCAATTGGCCATGTTTGTTTTGGTCACGCAAATAATGCTAATTAACGCACACTGGTTTACATTAATTTTATATCTATTTTACAAACCAGTAGAATGGAAATAATACTCAACGAAAAATTGTAGTCAACAAAATGAACTAGTCAAATAAGCCCATTAACAATTTATGCAGGTGTTGTGTATGCTATCAAAAACCAGGTTCAATAGCAATGGAATTGCTCCAGAGGAGGATGAGGGGTGGCAACATAACACTATACTCTCTAGCAGTCAGGGCCCAGCCAGAGGGGTGTTGAGGGGTTTTAACACCCTCTAAAATTAATCGAAATAAACAAAAAATCCAGATAATGTAGTAGTAAACGTAAAATATAGGCCTTTATGTATGATTTATGTATTGATTTATTATGATTTACAGAGGATCCCGGAGGTACTGTCCAACCAGGCCCCCCCCCCCCTTAGAGTAAACCAGAAATAATTGAAAGAAATGAATGAATCATAAACCTAACATACTGTGAATTGTTAACATTCTTTCATTACGCCATCTTTATATGATTGTAAATTTTATTTTCATATGTAGGCCTATAATTCGGGATTAGAGCAAATTAAATCTCACTATATTCTAGCTCCTATTTTGTTTTCTTGAAAAATATGAAGTTATGAAGTTGAAGTTTGACTTAAAATCAAATAAATTTTTTTCAAAGTGAATAAATTTGTTATACCTTATAGTAATATTGCACAGTATATAAACAATAAAAGGAAAATAAGTGAGGGTGTTTTAGCCTGACTTTAGTAGTACAGTATTCTCAGATGCAATGGAAGTGTTGAAAATACGGATAAACAAATAAATTTGCCCTTGAAGAAAAAATAAAAACATGGTACTTGTTTTGTTTGTTTATGTATGCTCTTTGGATTCTTTTAGTATGCTGTATAAAAGTAACAATTCAGAGACTATTTACAACTTTTATTAAAACAAGTTTTCTTGCAC